ATATTATATTATATTATATACTTTATTTACACAAATTTGGGGGCTTTCGTAGTGTAATTTTTCCTAAAAACTGGGAATAAACAGCTGCCCTTGGGGACCCTGTGGTGATGAAATCCAAGGGTTCTCCTTATCCTGTATATAAAGGAATAACAAGAGGGTACAGAGTGTATATTTTTCTGCTGCATTGCTCTCCTTTCCACAGGAAGTATGTGGAGTAAAGCAACCTTTGTGGTGAGCATTTTGCTACCCTAATGCAATCTAAGCTATTAAGTTTTGAAGGATATCACTTTTTAATAAAAACATTTTTTTTTTCATGTTTCAGGAAAGGTTTTCTGAAAGTTCTCAAGTACAAGAAGAATCCCAGAGGTCTTCCTTGTTTTCCAGACCAACACTTTCTCTATGTAGGGCCCAAATGGTTTCTTTAGATATTTATTAGTCTGCCTGACTGTCTTAGTAAATGGTTAGATCTTTTGCTAATATAAAGCATTTTATAAGGAAAAGCTTTTCCTTTTGTAATTGAATCAATATCCTTTCTTTAGTCATCTGAGATGTTTACATTTAGAAAAGGACAATGCCAATGATGTGTTTCTATTGTGCCTGAATGAAACATGTATTAGGTACCTTCTTACTAACAGCTTTTTGTTTTCTGATCAGAGATACTTTCAAGTAGGTTTGATCCAGGCAAAGTTGACCTTTTAAGGCTGCAGTTTTACACATATTTGTTAATTGTGAATAAATGTGATACACTTAACAAGGGAGCTATATCTCCCAGTTGATACAAGTAGAACTTCAGGCATATTCCCATTCTAAAACTGAGGCTCCTTTAAAAATACTTTGCATTGGTTGGGGGTACCCAGTTGTGAAGGGAAAGGTGCTTCTCTGTCCCAATTGGCCCGAATGAAGACGATGCATGTCATGTTTGGAGGCATTTACTATAACCCTCTTGAGCGCCCAAGCCGCAGTTTTTCCCAGAAATATAAGCTTGCTCTTTAGCTGTTCAGTGGATTAAGAGGAACAGAACTGTATGGGTATCTCTCTCTATATATATATCTTGCCCTCCCTTCTGTTTGGAGTGGCGAGTACAGGTACTCTCCGGGTTAAGAACACCCAGGTTCCAGACAACTCATAGCTAAGAACGGAGCCCATTGTAGCAACATTCAGATTAAATACACAATGATTCGACTTAAATACACAATGGTTCGAGATAATTACACAATACTATTATACAGTATTATGCAATAAAACTGTTCCGGCTTACATACAAATTCACCTTAAGGACAGACCTTGGGAACAGAACTCATTCTTAAACCAGGGACTACCTGTATGTGATTGAGAGGTACAAGAGGAATCACATGTATCATCTTCCCATTTAAGTTGTGCACAGTGCCCCATTTGCAGCTGATTGGAACTGGGAACAGCCAAGGAACATGCTGATAAGCTCCTTCTCATGCCAGTCTGTGAGGGAGGGTTAGTACAATGAGATTAGGATGCAGGGAGGGGAGAGCTAAACTGTCTTAGCCTGGTGCACTGAGGTCACAAAGGAACAGTGTGAGAGGCTGCACCAATTCCCAGCGTAGGACCCACCAACTTTGACCAAATCTACCAATCACATGGCTCCTGACCCTTTACAACATGCACCCCTTGGGGAAAAGTGTTCATCTTTGCCATGTGTTAAGCTAAATGTTCTTTACAAAACCATTTTTCTACATTTGAAATCAGTTGGTGACAATTTATAGAAATAGCGAATACCACCTGTAACGCAGATGGATTTCTTTCTGCACGTTCACCGCAGAAGTTCTGGCCTTTCTTTATCTTTGTGCTTTTGCATGAAACTGTTACCTTACAGAGAAAGCCTGCTATCTGGGGCAAGGTGTTCCAATGTCAAAGACTCCAAAGGATCTTAAAGCCCTTCCAGATGTCTGCAAGCCTTATGAAAGAGAACGAGAATGGGGCTTTCCTCCACCCCTCATTTCTAATTGCTTTAACCGTTTCCCTCTCATTGATGAAAAGAGTGCTGCAATACAGGAGAGAAAACACCGAGAACAGGATGAGTTTGGAAATGTATTAAAACAGTGTCAAAAGCGGCCTGAGAATCATCCATTTCTACCGTGTCAAATATCTGCAGCAAGATCCCTCCCCTTGTGTTGGTGGTTTCTCCTGCTGCAGTTATAAAATACATTATTCAGTTTCAGAGTGAGGACATCTGACAAATCCTATGCTCCCCAAGACACCTTCATAGGGACTATAGGATCGTAACCTTAAAGTATGCCTACTTGGCAAATAATCACTGATAATAACACTACAATACATACAATGAATTTAGGCCAATCCACAAGCAAAGCTTTCCCAGCATTTGCAATATTACTGGAACAATTTACTTTTTTTTTTCTTTTTTGTGGGTCAAGTGTCTTTGATTTTGGATTACCAAGCACTTTTATACACACTGTTTACTTTTAAAAGAAAGTTCTTTTTGGTTTGTATTAATATATTAAAAGCTTTAAAAAAATCTTTTCTTAATTACTGGGATCTTTTTGTGGCATGAAAACACATTTGATGGAGGGTTCTGAAATATAAAGAATCTGAATCTTAGAAAAACAGAAGATTACATCTTCCTGAGCTACCTCCATATTTCAACTTCGTAAATATGTCTGTGACAAAAGTTAATAGCCTGCCAAGAAATTACTATTCTGCCCATAGATGCCAATGTCAGTCTTTGCGAGTGCACAAAGAGCACCTGCTTGTATCGAGCCCACAAAACTTCCATATTGCCTCTCCTAAAATGTATTTATAATTATTGGGAGGTGAAAGGCAAATGGCCATTGCAAGCCTTTCTATCCTATTCTTTGGAGGTGCAAATCTCTTATTTGGATTTTGTATATGTTCTCTCTCACTCACACACACACACAGACACACAAATCAGTGGGACACAGTAAGTTATGTATATTTTGTGAAACCTAACTGCTTTGTTATCTAAAGTCTCTTCATAGCCTTGAACTCACCTAGTGTCATAATAACTCTTGAATTGCTTTCCAGTTGTCTGTATTTTCAGTTTCACTGAATCAAAAGTTCAGATTTACTTGGCAGACTTCTCTATACTTGGTTAGACTGATAATTCTGCTTTTCCAGGAGGGAGAAAAAGTAAAATGAAGCAAGAACTTGAATGGATGCATGGAATCTGTTTTGAATTACAGTACGGCATCAGTTCGTATCAGTGTTTTCAGGGGAGAATTCTTTCTTAGAGTCGTCATCGTGACCAGTCTGCCCATAATGTAAAGCAGCCTGCCTGGACCTAGTGCCGGCTGAGTTCTTTGGGAAACCGCTCCTATCAGCCCTCGCCAGCATTCAAGTGTTTAAGCAGTTATGCAAGTTACAGGCCAAAACATATCTGGAAAACTGTGATTTAACAACATATAGTTCTAACAGCATGAAGTACCTATGTTGCTGGGGCTACTGTATCTGGGCTGCAAAAATCCAGACAAGGACTGGATAACAGCAAAGAGTTTTCTTTATCTTTGCTGCCATTTAGTAGTCCTCTGGTGTTTTTTGTTTGTTTGTTTGTTTGTTTGCAGTCCAAATATGAATGTTTTAGTTGCACATAAATTAGTTTGTCATATCAAAGAATCTTGGTTTAAGATTAGCGACACCATGCTTGAGCTACAAAGATCTGCATGACCAGAAGGCAGCAGTAAAGAGATTCACTAAACTCTCAGTTCTCTAGATAATTCTGTCTAGCAGTCATCCAGACTTTTGTAGTCCAAATATAGTCACTTTACTTAAGATAGCACATGAACTAGAAATCATGGTTTAGAATAAATCTTATTTTTAGAAAACCAATTTCAAATCATGGGTTCAAAAGCAAACTAAACATCTATATTAGTTTAAAATTAGGTTTTCTAATTTACATATAATATGGTGAGATACTCTGAAACTCCTGAATAAACTCAGATATCCTCCTAATTCTGCAGGAAAAGGGTATGTATGTATAAGGGCTTTCACGGTTCATTCATATAATGGGTTAGAATTATCTATGCACTCAGCCAGTAACTGATTGATACTGCCTTTGCTTTCTCTCTAGTTACTGTCAAGAAAAATTTAAAAGCATTGCACTACTTTTGCATGGCTGAAAAAACACCAGTGGACAATAATATTGTGACAATCGAGGGGGAAAAAAATCCAAAAGGCTTTGGTGATACCTTTTCAAAAGTTGCAATATGTATCTTGAGAGCAAGCCAATATAGAAAACCTGATACAATAATTATAAAGCAAGAGGATAATGCAGAGGAGAGGGAGGGTGGAAAGAAAAAAGTAAATCTAAGAAATGTGGTTCTATTTTATACGTGTATATATATCTTGCTTGAAATACCAGGTTCTCAAGATCAGCAGTTCAGAACATTTTCTTAAGAGCAACGCCAAAGCTGCATAAATGCGAGGTTTCATTCAGGTCACAAATAAATGCCATAAATAATAAATGCTCAGTGTTTTAGTTTTAAAAACAGGGTTTTAGGGTTTGTGTCTATCTGCCATAATGAGCACCAATAATGGTATTCCAACCATTTCCCCTTCCTCCGTTTACTAGAAATTGGTCACACGCAGCTTAAAACACACAAGTGTGTGTGCACATACACCCCCCCGTACAGTGAACTCTACAGTTAATTGCGCTTCTAAGACAGCAGCGTCATTGAGAATACATTCCTGAGGCAGATCTATGCTTTTCCATAGCCGTTTCCAATGTGTGGGCCACACAGTTCATCTGTGTTTACGTGGTATTTCACTGGACGTGTTTGCAACATATTTTAAACCATTTTGTGGTTTGATTTGGCATGTAGTGTAAACCATGAAGCACCTTGATCACCATATATAAGCCCACTTAACTCATAATCATGATCTAGTGTGTCATCTGAGCTAAGACTGGAACTTAACTCCACCTTCCAAACTGGACCCCAAGCCAAATGGCACAAAGTGGACCCACTCCTCTGCAGTTCTGGCTTTATTTTCAACTCCATGGGTTACGGGGGATGAACTGGAGGCACAAAGGGGGTAGGGAAGAGCTTAAAAAACAAAACGGCCAACCACCACAAAGAGATGACAAAAAGGAGGGAGACTGGCTGCAGTTTGTGATTGTAGTTTTATGGTCGTTTTCTTCCACCAGTTCCAGTCAGTGCTGGTTGGCGGCGAGAGATTGTCTCCCAGGCCCCTCCATTGTGGGGCGCTGCAGGGTTCTATTCTCTCTCCCCTCCTTTTCAACACCTACATGAAACTACTGGGGGAGGCCATTTGCCCGTCTGGGGTTCAGTATGCGTGGGACTGGATGGGGAGGAACTGCCTCTGACTCAGTCAAATCAAAACCGAGTGGCTGTGGGTGTTTGGATCACTCAGATCTGGGGATATTCTGGCTTTGACTTTGGATGGGGCTGCACTTCCTGATTCAAGGGAGGCGTGCAATTTTGGGTCTTCCTGGACTCACAGCTTTGCTTGATGAGCAGGTGGTCAGGGAGGCCTTTGCCCAGTTTTCATCTGGTGTTTCAGTTGCACCCTTTCCTAGATCGGGGGAGGGCCTTCAGATAGTCCCTCATGTCCTGGTCACCTCACAGCTTGACTGTTGCAATGTGCCCTACATGGGACTGTCCTTGAAGACCACCTGAAAGCTTCAGCTAGTCCAGAATGCAGTGGCATGGGCAGTGATGGGCATACCTTGGTATGCCCATGTAACACCTCTGCTTCACAAGCTGCATGGGTTGCTAGTTTGCTTCTGGGTGCAATTCAAGGTGCTGGTTGCTACCTATAAAGCTCTACATGACACAGGGCCTGGTTACTTGAGGGACCACCTGTCTCCCATAGTATCTGCCTGATCAATCTGATCTGGCAGGGTTGGCACACCCTGGGTCCCATTGATTTATAAATAACTCAAGGCAGAGAACATACAATACTCCTGCCTCCTAGTTTCCCCACAACCACCACCCTATCAGGTGGGTTACAAGAACCTCTAGTATTAGAACATTAAGTTAGATCAACTTCGGTCATTACCAAGTTGGAAGGCTAAAGAAATTGATGAAATTATCTACAGAAATATGGCAACAGAAGAAGAATCTATAAAAGTTCTAAGCAAACTATGCCAGCAAACCTGGAGAATGACATACTGGCCAACAAACTGGAACAGGTGAATCCACATATCAATACCAAAAAAGATTTAACAAAGTGATTTTGTTTAGTACAAGATGGGACAGAAGGCAACTTAAGACGGGATTCCAGGATTCTGTTATTCTACTTTACTACAATAAAGAGCATTCTTGGAATCTCTGCTGTGCCTGTTTCTTGATCTAGCTTACCTCAAAGGACTGACAGCAATTAATACCTTTTGACAGAAATAGTATCTTACGTAGTCTGGCTGTAAGAGATTAAATAGGATTCTGATTCTTCGGTAGAACTGTTATGTTATGATGTGGTTTATAACACTCTAATGATGCCAAAGATAGTAGGGCAAATCTTACCTGTTTATTTTCTGAAGCATCTATAAGATTGAATTATTAATCATTTAAAACATAGACCTTTCCTGATTTCTAACAACCTAAATCTACAGTATATGAACTTTCAAATCAGCTAGAATTTGTTCCCAAACTGAGAAAGAGGTACTTGAAATTATAGTCAATGCTGTTATATTACCTTCCAGTGTTCGGATATTTCTGATACCTTTGACAAATTCAAAAGTAACTTCTTCACTATGTCAGAGATTATGACGGGCAAATTGTTTTTGAAGTTCTCTTTCCCTCACCATAGCATACTGAGGAGAAATCCATCTTAGTTCCTATCCTGTTTGTCAGATGAAACATAGACAACTTTCCCACCACAACACCGAGGGCTTGGGTAACAATGGTATCCTAACTGCCATAAAATAGAGACATCATAGATTTTGCTCAGTTGATTCACTTGCCCAAATACTAACCCATTTACTGGGATAACAACCACTATCTAGAACTGAACACACAGCTCAGTAGCTCTGGCTTGTCACATTCTGACAACTGTGGTGACTCCCTGACCAAGATCTTCCAAACTCTGCATGCAGAGTTTCAAATACATATCTCTTGTGTACAGAGGATATAAATAAATTATTCAGATTACGCATAATTAAAGTGTAGTGCTTTAATGTAATTGTAATCCATAGCACAAACTTTTCCAATAAACTCTTAACTTTTATCCTATTTGCTAAAATTGTAAAAAATCCATATTTATTTTTTTAAAAACAATTACATATGAAACAAATTGAAAATGAGTTACTATAAAAGAAGATAAAGTCTGCTACTTTTGTTTTTGTTTATTGCATATGACAAGATTCTTGAAAGTGTTAGCCTCCATTTCCTTTAAAAAAATTTGAGACGTGTTTGGCCATCATGTCTCCCAGGATCTTTTTCGAATGTGAGACGCCTTTTTTTAAGCTGTGGTAATTGCATGAATTCTAAACCTGCCAGAAAAAAAAAAAAATCCAGAAGAAGAAGAAATTATTAACAAATAAGCAGTCTACAACTATACAGATTTAATTCATATATTCTATCCTTTAATAAGTAAAAAAATTTGAGACGTGTTTGGCCATCATGTCTCCCAGGATCTTTTTCGAATGTGAGACGCCTTTTTTTAAGCTGGGGTAATTGCATGAATTCTAAACCTGCCAGAAAAAAAAAAAAAAAATCCAGAAGAAGAAGAAATTATTAACAAATAAGCAGTCTACAACTATACAGATTTAATTCATATATTCTATCCTTTAATAAGATAAAATATGTATTCTTAATTCTTCAAAGGGTAATTTAACAGAAGTTAAGCATTTCAAGTGTCCCTGATTTTAATTTGTACATTTATTAAATTCATATGCTTGCCTTCCTGTTCAGAAAGACCATTCAAAGAACAGGGTGTCCTCAACAAGGTGAGTCTCTGTCAAAATGACAAAACATTATTGTGACATCATAGCACAAGCACTGCCCATTCATGCATGAAGTATGATGACACAAGTATAAAAAGGGGTGGAGTTGACACTGATGCATATTTCACCATTTGCCCTCAGCTTCCTTCCCCTGTGCATGCCCGTGCCTAAGAAAGATACATTTGCCACACAGCCAATCACAACAGTAAAAATAAGTACAATTTTTGTTTAAAGTCAAACCAGGTAAAAAAAGCACTGTCTAGTGAAGGCTTAGTAAAAGTTTTGGCTGCTCTTCCAAAGGGAAATGTACCTGCATAGTTCTCCTAATGAGTATATTTATGTGCTTTATGTCACTTGACTGTGCTTCAGATAACATGAAATGCCGTTCTAGGCCAGATGCATACAATCTGAGGCTTCAGGATTTCAAGTGTTCCCTGAAAGCTTCCAGATGTTACCAAACTCATTTTTAATCTGATAGAAGTGAAAAATTGTTCAATACTTACTAGAAAGTTCATTATTCATTAAAGGTAAATGTAAATGAAATTAATTCTGTCATGACCCAACACTATATTTTGGGGAATCAGGTCACTGGCATGTCAATCAAAGCTAGATGTGGCCCTTCAACTGAAAAATGTAGACTCCTGTTCTAAATCCTGGACATGCAACCCTGAGGCTTCATGCAACTCTCCAGCTCCCTATGTTTGCATCACTGAAACTCTGCAGCAAATCAATTTTCAATGTTGCAATTTTGGGCAGGATTTATTTTTTATTTTTTATTTTTAATGTACCCCCCAAAGACTTGAATGCAGATTCCAAAACCCCTCCAAAAATTGCCACTGAATAGTTTTCAGTCTGAGAATGACAGAAAGGAGATAATCTTAAATATATGGGAGTATCAAAAATATATGCATTACTGATGTATTAATATATATGTACAAGACTGTGCAGTTCTTTGGACTAGCTCCCCAAAAGGTACTTCAGAGCTTGCAGGAATGTGAACATAGAACCTACTTGCAACGTCTTAAAACAACTGTGCCTTTTCCTGTGAACACATGCTACCTTCATAGCTATTGAACAATCCCAGGAAAATATATAGCTGCTTTAAGGTGTGCACAAAGATGCCACATTTGTGCTCCCATATGCTCCAAAGCATCTTTTGAGAATGAATCTAAAGCACTGCACAGCCCTCAAATGTTTATGTACAGGAAACATGATTAATTTAATAGAACATGTCACCAATGTACACCTCTGATCTATGCCTATATAGATTTTATATAGAATGAGGGCATATTTGTGAAGCTCTGAGATTAAGCCAAAGGAAAGTATAGTAGGGATGCTATAGCCAATCAAGACAGCTTTTCATGATGCTGTTAAAGAATCTTTGCTGATCTACGAAGTAGTATAGGTTCAGGTTAATCTGTGCTACAGAACATTTAAAATATGTTTCAAAGGAGAACCACAGGTCGCAGGCCATTTACAGTGAAATTTTGTGATGTTAACATGAGAGGGAATGATAAAAGTTTTATTGTACACCACCCAGAGTCACTTCAGGTGAGATGGGTGGCCATATAAATTTGATAAATAAATGAATGAATGAATGAATGAATGAATAGAATAGAATAGAATAGAATAGAATAGAATAGAATAGA